TCAACTACTTCACCCGCGATGATCACTAATTCTACACCATTTCGAAAAACTTTTAAAGCAATCGTTCGGAACAACATAGTAAAGCACAAATCATCCTGCAAATTTTTTAACAGGAATTGAATAGAAATATAAGAATTTAAGACATACATAAAAATAATTAATAATTTTTCTTTTTTTATTATAGATTCTGTTTTACATATAGTTTAACAGCTTTGTATACATCTATGTAGGTACTACAAGTAGTCAAGCACAACGGTTTGTCTTCTCATACATATGTACATACGTATGTATATAGGTAGTTCTTATATGTACGTACATATCATTATTATACCGTTATGAAATTTCATACTGTTAAGAAATAGTGGTTTGTGGGATCAAGTCCTCTATTTATTTATTTAACTGTTAAAAACTTTGCGACATAAGGCAATATGACTCTAAATCAGCCTCATTGCGAATTCCATGTGAAGAAATATTTCCCCAAATTATAAAGCAAAACAAAAACCGTTTTAGCCCATTTTACATATTTTGTTTTGCCTGTAGAATTTTGGGAACGATTTATTACCACGGATAAGGCGATAAGGCTGAATATGTAATATCGTTGTGCTTCAAACTTCAAAAAAGGTATGTATGAGTATTTCGAGATTTTCACGTGCTCACATCTGCCCTTAAAATTTAATATGTACACAATATTTTTATTTTTGAATTCGGGGACACTCGTGTGAGTTTTTAACGCTGTACCTTATGGTTTCAAGAACGTTCATTCATAAACATACATATACATAAATATTTTAATAAATACATACATATGTGCACGCATATTTTGTACATATACATATCGTCGTAAGTAAAGTACAAAACCGCGTATCAACAAAATGCAAAACCGCATATGTGAGGTAGAATTAATAATTTTCCAGAGAGTAAAAACACGCATATTTCAAAATGGTTTCCTTTTTTTATAAAGCAATCGTGTTTCCTGCTAGTATATTTAAGGACGAATGGATAATGATTGAGCCTAGAGCTTGTGTGAGCAAATTCCATTTTTGGCAAATGTCAGTTACGCGGTTTTGCATAACGACGACACGCGGTTTTGTACTTTAAACGACAATATGTATGTATGTATAAACAAAATTGAAAGTACATAATTACACATGATTTTAATTCAATTGGTAGATATACATTTATATGTAATTAATACATACTAGACTGCATCACCAAAAAAAGTTGCGGTTTTTACAAAATTTATTATATTTTAAGACATTGACCAAAATATTTCGGACAATGCTGGACCGATTTGAAAATACCTCCACTATTTTTATTTATGTGCAAAAAAGTCATTCGTGTCCCAATATTTTTTTCTTTTTCAAATACCAACATATCTTATAGCGTTTTCTTTTCTCGAAAAAAGGCTGCACTTATTCTGTCTTGTGTTAGAGCTGTCACATTTTTATGTTCTTTTCTCAGCCCTTTCATAAGGCGTCGTGTTCTTTTCTCAGCAGGTTGCGCTCTGATCCGGCGAAAGTGCTGCCTTTTCTGCCCTCAAATAAACGTGAGGGTGAGAGTTGCATGGTTGATTTTTAATTTAATCTTGCAAAAATGCAATTATTTTCCCTATCAGAAATAAGTGTTTTGCTTTAAAATTGTTAAAGACTTACAGGCCAAGTGAATAATTCAGCTTTATTATTAATTATTATTAATGAACGCAACATTTTCTCAGGTTTCAGGCTTCAGGGCAACGCAAGCAAGAGTTCCCATATAAAAGGGCAGAATTTTTTTTGAGAAAAGAAAACGCTATTAATTCAATCTTGAATGATGTTCGTTCATCCTACCTTTCTCTTTCATCCTTTGAATGAGCTCATTAGCAAAGAAATAAAAAGGGTGAGAAAATACCTTTCCAATAATAGTTGCGATCCCGTACGAGTCCGGAATATTTGCGATCCCGTACGAGTCCGGAATAGTTGCGATCCCGTATGAGTCAGAAATAGTCAGAATCAGTCAGATTTTACTGGAAATCGATCCCGTACTCGGTTCTCTGACTATTGAGAGGACAAAAAAGAGAGTAAATGCCGTTCTCTCTCTGTCAGAAGTTACCAGTTTTAGCCCGAGAATTTTTTGCTGGTAAATTCTGGTAAATGTGTCAAACGATCAGCTGTAGTGTGTTTGGCAACCAAATTGTAAACAAAAGAAAAGTGCACTCTGCTAATTCATGTTGAAAAGTATTTAATTACTTGTTTAAGTGGATTCTAATGAATTTGAAAGTATTTTTGGTTATTTACATGTGCGAGCTGAGTGTGTTTACATACAAAATAAGCAAAAATTTACAACCAAAATTTGGAGGTTATGTTGAAGTTGACAAAAGTTACCATTTTTTACTAGAAAGCGATCCCGTACTTTTCAATGTTACTCTCTCGCTCTGAGCGAATTTTTATTTTTGACAGTTTTACTAATCCGAGTCCGAGGAATACGGGATTGCATCTAATACCTTACAAGTCTAAATCGGAAGAGTTTAGGTTCAGTTTTTCTTATACCAATTTTTGAAAAAGGTTAAAAAACAGCATTAAAAATCTTATTATTACGTTTCCGTAAAAATTTATTTTTTTTTAATATTTCTATGTAAATTTTTTGAGCTTATACCGTTTTTTCATTTGAGGGGATTTTTTCAAAGAACATCTTTAAGAAACTATTTTTATTCATAAAAAAACTCCATTTTTGGAAGTATTTTCAAATCGGTCCTGCTCGCTTAAATCTTAATATTTTTCCGAAATATTTTGGTGGACGTCTTAAAATATAATATATTTTATAATTCCAATGGAAAAACAGTACCGTTTTTTTTTTGTATGGGGAGTGATGCAGTATAATACATACATGTCGTCACCTGAGATGCAAAAAGACGTAAAAACATCGCAACTGAAATTGAAAAGGTCGAGACTAATATTTTTATTTTTTTCATAAAATTATGTGGGAGTTGTATTCCATCATATAAATCAAAGTGAATTTTGAATTTTTTATTAGTTATGGCTTTTTGCATTTCAGCGATGATGTTTGCTACGTCTTTTTGAATTTCTGTCGACGATATGTACGTATGTATGTTTTTCTTTTTTTATTATAGTGTGTTATTGGTGTTTTTTTTATAAATACCTCCGTATGTATTAGCAATACTTATAGCTTATTTTCGAATATATACATACATATGTAAATTTGTGTACGTACAAAAATATATGTTTGTATGTTAAGGATATGCGATTAATCAATTAATCGAAGAAACTTGATTAATAAAATAATAATAATTTTCAATTAATAATCATTTTCGACAAAGTGATGTCTTCCCGATTAATTACATTTTATTAATCATAATTTAATTTATTTTATTAATCAGAAACCTGAATAATTGGTGCTATATTATTTATAAAAAAAATGTATACATATATGCATACATTCATGCATATGTATATATTTTTTTCATTTCAATGATCAACATAATGGCTGTGTTTCTTAATACATTCCAGATAATCACATTTCACAGCCAGAATAAACAGAATGCGTTTGAAATATACGTTAACATATCATCAGGATCGTTCTAAAGAATAAGTAAACAAAAAAGTTTATTCCAAACGTTCAGAATGAATAAAGAAATGCAGCCAATAAGGCGCTCATTTGGTATTATATTTTTGTTAATAAGAAAAATGTTGTATTCATGTATTATTTATTAAAAAAAAAAACTCAGTTGCTATGAAAGCAAACTCGAAAGATAAATATGAGCAAAGTCTCTCAGATTTCAATAAAATTTTTGAGTAAACAGTGCTTACTCAGGATCTGATTAATCACGTTTTTTGACTAATCAGGATTATGAATATTTAAAAAGTTATTTAATCGATTAATCGCACATCTCAAGTACGTACATAAAACTGCTTCAAAGTTTTGAATTTACATACCGGCCGTTTACTTAAATAATATCATAATTTCAAAAAACACAAAGTTTCAGTTGAGTATGAAGAAGTTGTCGCCAGGTTTTCCTCCATGTTGTTTCAAAATTTCATGTTTGTATTGATTACCAGTACCTCCCCAGCCAGCAAAATATCCGGAAACGTATCCGAAAATGGAAACAATTTCGTATAAAAACCTGATGTTTCATCAGTTTTCCGATTCCGTTTTCTGACATTTTTCAGATCAGTTCTCCCACTAAAGTGTTCATCCGAAGCGTATGTGCAGAAAACTATCGAAAATGGTTGTAAAACGGATGCGCTTTCGGCTGTTTTCCTGAAATTTGTCTGATTCAATTTTTCGTTGAAAACGATTTCATTATGAACTTCACAGAAACTTTTTCATAGTTACAGGAAACCAAACAAAAAACAAATATAAGATTCAGCAATTATTTCAATTTGAATAACTAATTTTAATGTGTTGCTTTTGGCGGAATTCCGAACCTGGGACCTCCTGAAAGCTAACAAATAGTAGCACACTTCTCTGCACACTCAGCTACTGGCGAATATGTATACATGTTTTCAAATGCCCAGTTTGAACAAATATTTTAAAATTATTGTTTTGGAATAAGATGATGACATTTTTCGGATACGAAAAATTAACAAATATGAAAATTGTTTTCTGAACATTTCCGGAAACGAAAAATGTACGAAAACTGCATTTTCGGCAAAAAGTACGTTTCTCTGCTGGCTGGGTCACTAGAACAAAATTTGTATACATGGGAGTATATGTACTTTAAACTTTAAAGCCTTTTTTCTCGAATTTCGCTTTTTTGGGCTATGACAGTATTGAAGTCAATGAGCGATACACATACATACATACTTCCATACTAAAAATGAATACATATTTTGTTCTAGTGAACTACTACTGGTAGTCGGTACATCTATTGAATTTTTAACTCGATTTTGTATTATTTTGGACTATGACACTATTGAAGTAAATGAACGATATGTATACATACATTTATAATGAATCCTTTGCAATCTGCATAATGCCTTTATTTTTAAGATGGTTTCTTTAGTTATCCAAATTATTTTACTAGGAATTACCTTTTGACTATTGTTAAAATGGAAGACTTCAGTACATTTAATATTTTTTTCTGATTTGTTACCAGTTTATTTTTTAATAACATATGAATTAGTTTCATTCCTTAAAACTTTATACGGATTAAATGTGTAAACTATATTTAATTTGTATTTATGTAAATATATTCAAGATAAAAGTACGCAGGTTTAAGTAACATGTTTACGATTATAAGCCTATAAGGAACAATATTTTTGCAGTTATTACAAAAAACTCCTACCAAATAATTTTGCAATTAATAAAAAAAATCTCTATTCTATATTAATTAACTAATTTTCTATTCTTTTTTGTATAGATTTTTATTTAAATACGCCTATATGCAAAGGCGGGCATGTATGTACTACGTAAGTACTAACACATCATTCAGATACATATTAGCAGGGCAGAAGTGCTTTCGTGGGTTTGCTGGAAGACTTTCCTATGCCAGCAAATATTAAATTTTCTTAGTTAAGTACACAAGAATGACGGCCAGCTCTTATTTATATTATGTCTTCCAGCAAATATGAGATTTAAAAACGGTTTACAAAGTTTTTCATCCCAAAAATGATTATAAAACCCTTTCTAAGATTAACAAAAACTACTAAAACCTAATAAAACTTTAGTGAAATTAGAAAAAGAAAGCGCTACACAAAAGCTCATATTGATTCCCTGTAAATCTCAAAATGGCTGTAGTTTGGAACACAGGGATCGACCAAATTAACTTTTTTGATAATAATAAATGCAAAATAGAGAGCAAAAACTTAACGACATTAGGCAACTACTTTTAAAACTTAATTGGCTGAACTTACTTTCATGGCCCACAAGTGCTATAATAAAAAGCTAACTCAGATTCTACACATTTTCCCTTCAAATCGCTGAAAAATAGGTCTCTTCATAAGTCTGGATTGCTCCTGTATATTTGTTTATAAGTGTACGTATATTTGTGCCAGATCGTTATAAAACTGCTGAGGTTAATTCTTCCCCATTTCGGTGACAAAAACGATCGGCAAAAACGTTAAGTTCTATGCATTTTTATGTAAATATTTATGCATGTAAATCCATTCAATTGCCTGGGAAATTTATTTGATTTTCCATCGGTTAACATCATTCTAGTGGTGGCAAACTACCGATGGCACTATCGATACTAGTTTTTCAAAACTATCGAGTATTTTCACTATCGAAAATTTTCTAAATTTAAGACACAAAAATAGTGAATGTGCATTGTATTAAGCGGCAATACTTTTATATAAAAGAATATATGGCAACTTTATTGGCTTAACGTCATCAGTTGAATCGGAACGATTGTACAGTAAAGCAGCTTTAATAGTAAACGAAAAAAGATTGCAACTAAAATCCTAAATAAAAACAATTGGCTTTAGAAAGCAGAATACGTAATTTAACGTTTAGTTGTTTAAATCATATTTTCATTATTAAGGTAGGTCCTTATGGTCTTTAAAAAACTATATTCAACGGAATGGGGGCGTATTCATAGTCAAAATTAAGTTGGTAGATAGTCGTGACTATCGATAGTTTGCCACCACAACACCAATCATATGCTTGAATCAATGGTACTAAACCTTGTTTAAGTGAATCCGAAACATTTCATTATTACTTTTGTACTTACAATGAAAACTATTACATAGTTTTCTTTTGTAAATATTTATCTAAATTTTTCCTTACATAACTAATTTGAACCCTCGGATTTAAGCATCTACAGTTTAGTCATTTCCTCAATCTGACTACCTCCTAATCTTCGTGCAAGCGGTGGTATGAACAAATCACCATCAATTAGTTGATTGTCTAAGTAAATTTGCTTATTATCTGCCAATTTTAATGCTTCCAGCAATAAGCTTAGTCCATATCCAGCAACTAAGGTGATCAAAAAACCAATTACAGAAAGCCATAAGTACGACAGTCTGTATATCCAAAAATAATCTACTTTAGCTTCATCTGTGGCCAACAGTTGTGTGGTGATATTGAGCGCGATGTTGTCAGTCTGGGTAAACGCCTCGGCGACTAAGGTGCTATTAATTGCGGCTACGCAACCATCAGCTTTGAAATCTAGCATTGTTGGCAATGGCTTTGGTCCACCAAAACCGATAATGAACGAAAATATCAGCCCGATCAGCAGACCTATCAACACTCCACGTTGATTTGATCGCGTTGTGCATAAACCCAGGGTAAAAAGAGCTAGCAATGGGCCGCCAATTATGCCGAAGATAGTGAGAGACGCTTGCAGAACGCCACCCATTGAACCGGCCGTGAATGCCATACCAATACATACGAGTCCATAAATGGCGGCCATAATTTTACTTGGCAGTGTTGATCTTGCTTCGTGTAGTGGATTATTTGTGATACGCTTGTAGAGGGGTTTGATGTAGTCCTCTAATGTCACAGTTGATAATGAGCTGACCGCTGATGAAACAGTCGAAAGGCTAGCGGAAAATATGCCCGATACAAAGAGTCCGCACAAGCCGGGATATTGACCTACATCAGTGATATGGAGACAAAGAGAAAAAGAGAGAGAATGCAGTAAGTTAATGAACATATGCACCTAAATGTTTACAAATGTACATAATGTACATATGTTTGTAAGTCGACAAATTATGTATGTACATATGTACAATACTATTCACGCAAATATCTTAGAATATATACTATACATAAAACTATATAACAAAAAGATAAAATATCATTGATTTAACAACACCGTTCAACAAAATTTTGTCGTATTTTATTTCAAAAACGGGGCCGACCTCATCTTACAGATTTTTTTATGCGGATTTGAAATGCATTTATAACATTTTTCTAGCAAGTCCAGTTTTTGAGAAAAACTTGTTGAAGTGTCAAAAACTGGCGAAAAATACAATATTTAAAAAAAAGTTTAATATAATTTGGACGTAATTTTTCCGAAGAAAAAAAAACCACGTATTAATGAAAATCCAATTCGACTGATCGATTCTACCTCATGCCGATGGATTGAGTAGAAAAGAGTGACTTGACTTGCGGGCCGCTAAAATCAAACGTAGAATATGTGATATTATTAAGATCACATTCAAGTTAAAAACATTACATGAAATATTCGTTTTTATTGTATTGAATCAGGGGCGAACACAAGTAGGGGTTTTGGAAGTGCTACGTTCCGAATGCATTGTGTAAAAATAACGGACAATTTTAAATGACAAATTCTGCCCCTCTGACAGCCGAATTTGCAGAAACTAAATTGATAGCCAAAAATTCATCTGACGAGTATCAAGTAGCGAACAAATTAAAACGCTTCGACACTGAGGACCTTAGTGCACCTAATTTCAGAGTAGAGATGGGCGCGGAATATCGGGAACCGCGGGACCCACAGTACTGATTTCAAATTGGCCGGGATGGACGATATCGGGAAGGTCTTTAAAAATTTTGCGGGCAGGTATCCTTTACGGACACTTCCGATAGAACCGCAGCTTCCGCAAATTCAGAAAATCTCCCTTAAAATCGATGTACGAAATATGCACTTGCAAAGCAAAATAATCGGAAGGTGCCAGACCTTTTACAATTTTTTTTTATAGATACATTTTTTAGTGATAGATTTCGGGACCCACGGGACCCGCTGTCAATTCTGAGAAACGTCGGGATGGGCGGGTTCGGGACTTAAAAATTGAATTTGGGATGGGAGGGATCGGGATTAAATATTTAGTCCCGTGTCCATTTCTTTTTCAGAGTAAGTTACCAATTCCCATAGTTCCCAGTATATAATAATGAGATATATACGAATTCGATTGGAATTTTACTACCATGTATGAATACTAAAGATTAGGCGTAGTTTGTTTAAGACCTAACAAAGGTCGCTTCACTAAGTTTTAAAAGGTTTTGACCACTATTGTTTTCAAGATTCCGGTAATTTCGCAACACTCTGCGTCCCGAAAATCAAGTTTTACATGCCTGCGGCCGAATTACAATTTCATATTCTTCCAGGTTCCTCTTAATGATGTGTCAAGTTTTTGTCGCCGTGAACTAAGCGATAACGGGAATTATGGCCTACTTGAAAATCCGTGGGCACCGAATTCTACTTGTAAATCACCGCCTTCAACCAAATTAATTTAAAATTTCAATTGTCATATGCATTTCAGTACCGACATTTCAATGAATATCTGTTGCATGAACGCCCCATACTCTCTTTTCGTTTACACTTGCGACAGAGTTGCATTTGCTTCAGTCTATCAAGATTGTTCAGTGAAATCGCTAGCGAAATTTATCAGAAATGTGTACCTACGGAGATTAGTCTAACAACATTCCTGGATGCTCTTAATGCTTGCAATCAATCAGTTTACCTAAAGGCATACCGATTCTTCTAGATAGGCGCAACACTTCCTGAGAGAGTTGCTTCCAGCGAACGCTCCCTTTAAGCATAAATCATATTTACGAAGTAAAACTGGGGAACAAAGATTAAATGGTTTAGCTTTACTAATGATCCACAGAGATATAGAAGTTATGAACGAAGAAATATTGAATTCAATTTTTTCTTTTTAAGATGAAGTAGTAGAGAAATGTTATTTCACTCGAAATTATTAAAAAAAATAAAATAAAGACATATTGCACCACCGAAACCCGTATTTGCTGGAACTGATTAAATCGAAAAAATATATTTTTTTTAAAACCTAAATATAGTTAAGAAATAAACAAACCTCTTGCGTCTGATTTTATGAAACCTACATATTTCACGAGTCTGATGAATTATGTTAAATCTGAGTTTTTAAATACGGCACAACCCTCATAAATACAGTTCAGAAATAAACTCATTTTAACCCGTTTCATTGTTTTTAGTAATTGCTATAACTTATTAAATAATTTGAGTTAACCTTTTTTAACAGATGGCAAGCCTCTTTTATATTCTGAATATTTAAACTAAGTATAACTTACCACCTTCGTTTCACGCCGTATTTTAATATATCATTTAACTTATGCATACTTTAATTAAATACCAATTTTTAAATAGGTGCCAATCCTATTCAAAATATTTTAAAACCAAAACCTTGTATAACCTTTTTCGACTGCCACACATATTGCGATACATATTTAAATTGTGTATCTAATTCCCTTAATACAAGTTGAAGTTAATTTCTAAAACATATGACAACCCTCTCAAATAAAGTTGCGAAAAAACATTCTTAACACATGTCAATATATACAAACACTTTAATAATAATTTGAATTTAACTATTTACACAGGTGGAAAACCCTTCTTTAATGCTATAAATGCTCAAACGAAGTATTTCTTAGTTGTCGGCCGTTGTGGTGTAGTGGTAAGCAGTGGAACTCCGCAGCACCTGGGTTCAAGCCCTGGTCAAAGCAACATCCCAAAAAATATAGAAAAAAGGTTTTTTCTTAACAGCGGTCGTCCCTCGGCAGGCAATGGCAAACCTCCGAGTGCACTTCTGCCATGAACAACAGCTTCTCATAAAAATACAATCGCCGTTCGGAGTCGGCGTAAAATTGTAGGTCCCTCCGCTTTGTGTGACAACATCAAGGCTCACGCCACAAATGGAGGAGAAGCTCGGCCAAACAATAACATGTGTAAGCGCCAATCTATTATTATTATTATTATTATAAGTATTTCCTAACACTCCTCTGCTTAACGCCAATATTTCAATATTTCATATAATTCAATTCGACTTTTCAAACAGATGGCAATCCTGTTCATATAATTTTTAAACCAAAACCTCGTTAAACCCTTTTCGTCTGACACTTGTAATGTGATACATATTTAAATTATGTAATACTCTTAATTCAAATTGAATTTAATTATAAAATCGGGTGGCAACCCTCCTACATTCAGTTTGGAAATAAAGTTTCTTCAAAGCAATTTTGATTTATATTCACATTGAAGAAATTTATTTAACCTGTTGCTTATATTGAATCTAACTTTGTAACAAGGTGGCAACCCTCTGCAAAATATTTTCAAGCCACAAACTCTTTCGTCTGACATCCATATCTGGAGATACATTTCAATTTTCTGCCTTTATTTAAGTCGAACTCGCTGTTTGAAAAAGGTGGCCACTCTCCCACATGTAATTACCCTGTAATCAAATGAACTAGTTGCAAACTATCTCACAACTAGTATGAACCGCATTCCCAATTAGTCAGCCAACTATCTTTTTTCCTTGCAATCAACTGGTATTTTTAACATGGGGATGCCCTACGAGATGGCAATTGTCAGACTTCGGTCAGAAATATACCAGTCTCATACTAGTTCAAAATAGAAAGAAACATACTAGTCCAATTATAGACCAAAACCACTATAAATAGAAATAAAATGAATTCATGAATATAAAATAAAAAACTTTTGAATAAGCACACTTTAATATATTACACATTTTTATTTAGCAGCCTTAGATTTGCCAATAATTAGTGTTAAATTTCAGCTTTCAGGTACAATAAATACTATATTTTTAACTATTTTAATAATACTAAATATGAAAAAAAACATTTTAGTTCAAAATAAATAAAATACTTTAGTTCATTTTCGACTGAACTTAAATAAAAATAAAAGTTTTCATATTCATTTCTTTTTAAAATTTTATAAAAAAAGTAATTAACGCTTAAAATTTGAGATTTCGATAAGAATAAAATAAATAAATAATTCATGCAGGTATTAAATATTCTTAATTTTTGTCTTGTTGATTTATAATTGAAACTAATCAAATAATCATATTAATCGTGTAATTAAAAAAAGTCAAAAATAATTGATAATGATCAAAAATAACAAAATAATCATGTAATTAAAATTAAGTAGTGGATTAAATAACAACTTTTAATTGATTATTAATCTTTAAATAGGTGCTAATATTGTTATTTAATCATCTAACGGTTATCCAAAATAGCATGCTCTAATTAATAATCATTATGATTATTAATCATTATTTAACAGGTCTGGTATAATTGAATATGTACTCGCTTTAATGGTTTACAATATACCCAAATAAAAGTTATAATATTTTGTTTACTTTATTGTATTAAACTGTCGAGGTCAAATAAAACCGGGCATGAATAAATCGTTTTGTACTTGGTACAAGTCTGGTCATTTTCGAACTAGTTCGGTTCCAGTCAGGAAATTCTAGTTGTAATCTAGTATTTTTCCTGACTAGTTTGGGGTTTCCCTGTAGTGTAAGAACTAAAGCCTTTTCAAAACCATTTCGATCGATACTCATAGTGTAATAATTGATTAAACCTTAAAAGCCTTAAAATAAATTTGAAAAAATAAGAAATTATTACACACCCGCAGGCCAAGCCCTTTAATTTCATAACTCATTTTGTAAAATCGAACGAACGGTACAGATTTGATATAACGAGAAAGTTTTCGCGTATTATGCATTCATATGTACATATGTACATATACTAAGTTTATACGCTTGCATAAGTCGCTTTAATTCACTTCGCCGCGATTCAAAACATATGTATAAACTGAATTTCAATTCGCTTTGAAAGAGCGAAGTGTTTTG